GACCCCACACGGACCCCACACGGACCCCACACGGGCCCCACAGGGACTCCACACACGTCCCACAGGGACTCCACACGGGCCCCACACGGACCCCACACGGACCCCACACGGACCCCACACGGGCCCCACAGGGACCCCACAGGGACCCCACACGGGCCCCACAGGGACCCCACAGGGACCCCACACGGACCCCACACGGGCCCCACAGGGACCCCACAGGGACCCCACACGGACCCCACACGGACCCCACACGGGCCCCACACGGGCCCCACACGGACCCCACACGGACCCCACAGGGACCCCACACGGACCCCACAGGGACCCCACACGCGCCCCACACGGACCCTACACGGACCCCACACGGACCCCACACGGGCCCACACGGACCCCACACGGGCCCCACAGGGAGGTGGGGAACCAAAAGGAGAGCAGCGGAAGAATGAGGCAGAGGCAGTGTTTAGGGGCACAGTGCTGACCATTTTCAAAAACCGATGAGGCAAAGCACAATTATAGAAACATCACAAACTGCAAGCATGATAAATACAAAGAAAACCATGCCCTGGCAACCAAACTCCAAACATCTTGTTAGAAGATCCTGAAAGCTTCCAGAAGTGGGGGAAACCCAATTACCTAAAAGGAGTAAAAATAAGCCGACTTCACAGACGTAAGGAGCAGCTGCCAACACAGAAGTGTGGTTTGCAGAGCTGATGACAGCCGGGTGGCCAGAAGCCAAGAGGCACAGATAAAAAACGTGTCACACGAGCAGCCAGAAGGGAAAGGAGGCTAACACAGCTCTACTCATCAGACCGAGTCGACTTGCAGCCTGACAGAGGAAGGCAAAAAGCATTACTGGAGACAAAGAGTAACACTTCTTAATGATAAAAGGTTAAATTTAGCAAGATGACAACACAGTTCTAAATTTCAGAACCTCAAAATAATAAAGCAACACAATAAGAATATTTACAGCACCAAATCATTTCCATGAATTTAAAACTCTCACATGCCAAGCAACGCGACACGTCTGCAGATACATGTGTACTCTCCAAACACATGACACCCGGGGCCACGGCAGGGGAAGGACTGGAGTATGGGAAGCAATGGGATCAAGTAAGAAGCACTCACCCTGAACAGGGACAATAGCCCAATAAGAAGGAAAGTGCTGGGTCAACCCAATTTCTGCCCCTAAGTGCCAGAGAACAAAGAAGAGGCAGAAAAACCAGGTATGGGTATGCCATCTACTCACTAGACCCGTCAAGTTTTAAGTCAAATGACATTCTTGTTTCTGAGAAAAGGTGGCAAGTGTGTGGCCTACGGCACCGTTGGGCCTTGCCAGGTCACTTGGTCCACTGTCCAGCCAGCTGAGGTTGGTTGCAGAGCCTGCTCTAAGGCGCTGGGCGCTTAGGCAATGGAGGCCATCCCGGTGG